GAAGCTGCTTTGTCCAGGACTGGTGACTTTGGTCAAACAAGCTAATCTGATTTGATTGCTCCATATATATTTGCTCATATGATTAAAAACTTCTGTGTGAAAATAAGGAAATGAAAAGAAAAAATATTTGAGTGGTTCAGGGGCTCATGAATTTGGCAGGTTGTCTATTTTCATATGCTTTTTTTCTTTTTCTTTTCTCTTTTTTTAGTACTTAGCCATCTCTGGTCTCTTATAAAGAATTTTGTCTTGTAAGCCAACGATAATTTTAAGCAATGGGTCAAATTCTTAAAATTAATTAAGCCAGTAGGAAAGAACCTGCAGGTTTTTCATAATTTTTCCAATTTACCAAGACACTTCTAATGAAGAAACACAGCACTTTCACTTCAGGAAAGCCTGGGGTTTCACAGGGTCTAGCTGATTTAGGTTAATTATTTTCAATATATCAGATGCCTATAATTAAATATGAAACAAAACATATTCTGAAGCCTAAATTTTAGTGAATATTAATAAATCAGACTCAGTATATGTTCTACCCACTTCCATCACCCCCTCAGTCCACATAAATCCTAAGGTGGGGGAAAGGAGAGTGTTTATAGTATTTGACAACTGTCAACTCTGGCTCTGAGTTAGTGCCCGCAGTTTTCATGAGTCATTGTCATTTCTTGTATCTGTTCCTTTATATTCAGCAGCAATGGTTTCTACAGCCCTGGAAGTCAGTGGTGGAGCAGACCTGAAGGCTGAGCGTTGACCCTCCCTTCCTCGTGGTCACCTTACTGGGGCAGCCCCTTGTTCATCGGGAGTCCAGGGCTTTCCTCACAATCCCCCCTGGACAGCTGCACACCGCCCTGGCCAGCCGAGCACTGGGTCACAGTGAGAAGCTTCTGAGACTGTACTTGGGTTTAGCTTCCCTGAACCTCTCTTTTTTATTACATGGTCCTGGTCTGGGATGTGTGCTGCTGCAGCAGCATTTGTGAGTCAGCCTCAGGTGGTGGCAGGTACAGCTGGTGCAATTGACAGAAGACTCAATGGGAGGAACACAGAGGGCTGGTTCCTACAAAGTAGAATGATCATGGAACGAAAACAAAATCTTTTCCTTCTAAAACAGGAAAAGACTCGATTTAAATTAATTTGTTAAATATCTTTCTGTCTTTAATAATAATAATAGTCAACATTTACTGAGCCATTACTGTGTGCCAGATATGGTTCTAAAGCACTTCTTATTATATCTTAACTCATTTAGTAACCTACATAATAACCCTAGGAGGAGGACAGTGAGGCAAAGATGGGTCCTATGACGCCTAAGAGTTGATAACAGGATCTGACACTGGCCATTGGGTTTCAGTGTTTGTCCTCTTAACACCACTTTGAGCTGCCTGACTCATGGTGGTTGCTCAGTAAATTTTTTCTTGACCAGATAAAAGAAAGAGAATATTAAACAATCATCTATACACTTCCTTTGAAGTGAGAATCAAGTTTATATTCTGTTCTCAAACTTAAATCCATGCACTGACTTATAACTGCTGGAAAAAGAAAAGCTCATGCAAGGATCCCATCTAAAAGTATATTGTTAGGGAATTAAGAATATGACCAAGATAGCTTTTCAAGGCACTAGATAAACACAGATTATTCAATAAAGGGTGCAGAACTGGCTAGCCATTCTGCCCTCCCCCCCCAAAAAAAGTTGTATTTTTTGTATTTTCTTACTCCTTACATTAAATAGGAATTCCAGATTTAAATATAAATATGAAAGCCATAATATGTTGAGAGGAGATATGGGTAAATGTGTTTCTAAACTTAGAGTAGGAAATGTCTAAGTCTAAACAATCCAGAAGCAATAAAAGATTGACAAAATTAGATTATTTTAAAAACAACAACCAAAAGCTATGGGCAGAAAATTTCATAAAGTCAAAGAACAAATGAAAAATTGAGAAAAAAATTTATCCCATGAAAGATCAGATTAGTTGATTTTTAATATATAAGGAGCTCTTACAAATCAATAAGATGAACAGCACAGTTTAAAATGGGTAGAGAATATGAAAAGGTATTTCACCAAATGAGATACATATGGCCAATGAATGAGAAGATACTCATTTATGCTTATAACGAAAGAAACTTATTTTAAATATGATTATTGTTGAGATTGCCAGATATTAAAAGGTTTGTGTGTTACTGTGTGAGAGAACATATTCTCAAAACAGCTTGCGGGAGGGGTAAATTATTGGAAATGCTTTGGAAGCCAATATGGTAAGATCTATCAAACACTTATTAGAAATTTAATTTGTGGAAGTTGCAAAAATAGTACAGGTGGTTTCAATGTATCCATTACCTGCCTTCCTCTTATGTTACCATTTTATATACTCAATTTATCAAAATTAAGAAATTAACCTTGGCACTATCTTATTAACCTAAGTACATTACTTATTTGAATTTCATTAATTTTTCCCCAATGGCCTTTTTCTGTTCTAAGAGCCAGTCCAGGATCCCATCTTCTGTTTGGTTATCATGTCTCTGTAGTTAAGTCTCTGACAGGTCCTGAGCCTTTTCCTTATTTTTCATGATCTTGACAGTTTTTGAACAGTGCGGGTCAGATGTCTTATAGACTGTCCCTCAGTTTGAGTTCCTCTGAATTTTTCTCCCAGTGCATCATATCAGGTTGTCCGTAATGTTGATATATCTCATTACTGGTGATGTTAACCTTGGCCACGTGGCTAAGATGGTGTCTGTCAGGATTCTCCACTGTAAAGGTATAATTTTCCCTTTGTAATTTGCTAAATATTTTAGAGATAAGATCATTGTTAAATGCATATACATTTTAGCCCAGCAATTCCACGTACTGAAATTTATCTGCAGCTGCCTGTGATAGTTTATCACTTGCAAAGTGGGGGTGATAATGCCCCCTAGAACTGATGGGAGAATTCAGTGAGGCCCCGTATTTGAAGTACTTGATCAGTGCCTCACACACAGTAAGCTCCCTGCTGGTTCGCCCTTCCTTCCCTGAACCCCTGGAGGCCAGATGTTTTGGAATTCAGATTTTTTTCAGAATTCAGAAGATAATACATTTATTATATATTATGTGACAGCCCCAGAAGGATCTGAAGCAGCACCCCACAGTCAAACACTAATCTTTCTGCAACGAAATGCATGAATAGCTACATGAAGGGAGAAAGATAAAGACTATTATTAGTAGCTTCAGGTGAGTTCTGGTCAGACCTTGATCTGATTTCAGGTCAGGTTTTGTTGCTGGCTGAGTTTTTAAAAATCTCTTTGGGTTTTTAGAGCATTTTGGATTTCAGAATTGTGAATAAGGGATTGTACACCTGGATAAGAATTTGCAAATACAGATGTGGATGTATGAGTGTGTTTTTGGCAGCATTGTTGGAAATAAGCCTAGAAAACTCCTGATGGCCCTCAGTAGGAGATTGGTTAAGTAAATCCTGCTATACAGTGGTGCCTTATTCAGCCCTTTAAAAAGTATGGAGCAAACCATAATGTGCTACTAGGAAAAAATGACAAGACGTGTTACTAAATGATTCATGACATTTACAGAACAGTGCGAATGATTTTATCTGGATTAAAAAATATATATTGATGCTTGGAAATGCATTAAGAAACATCGAGAAGAGTGACTGCATATTAGAATCACCTGGGGAGATTAAAAATACCGACACCTGGGCCCTGCCTTAAATCTGTTGAATTAGAAGTGGAGCCCAATCTTGGTACAACCTCAGGGATCCTGCGGGTTCAGTTTCAGGCCATTGCAGCAAAGCGAGTCTCGCAAGAAAGCAAGTCATAAACTTTTTGCTGGTGGAGGGCCTTGCCTTCCATTTGTTAAAAAACGCTATTCCTGTGAACCTCAATAAACCGAGGCACAATAAAACAAAATGTACCTATATTAGGAAAGTGGATGTCTTCCAGTGACACACTTAGAAATAGCATAGAGTGAGAGCTGGCTCTGTCGGCTTTCCCATGTTCTCACTCCAAGAACTTAACCTCAAAAGTGAGTCTCCAGTGATCTTTCCTCCCCCTCGCTAGCCCCTTCCGCTTTCACCCCTCCGCCTGCCTCCTCCATTTCTGGCCCCACCTGGCTGGCATAAAAGCCTCAGAAATACCTTTTATTGCTCGTGTTGCCCTTTCTCTGATAAGGTCCTGTTTTATGTGGCTCAGCAAAAGCCTTTTGGCAAAGTCAGCTTTCCTTTTCCTTGGTAACCAGTGCTGGGATCCAGCCAGACCTGGTGTTCAGTTGATGCCCATGAACAAAATCAATGGCTTCTTTTCCTGTAAGCGGTTTTTGTGTTTCTCTTAAGAAGCTTCATGTCCTCTGCAGTGTGCGAAGTCTCTTTGTAACCTGGATGTGCTGTGCAGCTCACCATGCTGTAGCTGCACAGATAAGGGCTCTGAAGAGAGAGACGAGGGAAGCCAGGTTCTCTTCCTCCCTGCAGGCCCTGTCTGTCCCCGTGACCTACACAGTGCAAGTTCACACTCCTCCAGAGTGCTTTTCTGCTTTGCTCAAGAAACGTTTTAATTGGGTGCCCATTAGTAATTCTGTGAGAGGGTGAAAAACCCTCCCTTCTTAGGAATCAAATCAAAAAGGCCTTTTTGGAGCGTGATAAGTGGATGCTTTCTAGTGGGATGTGGAAGCACTTGATACTTGCTTTTGCTGTTTACAGAGATGGTTCATTCTCACACTTTACTGGGAAGGTAGGTGCTATAATTATCTCCATTTCACAGATGAGGAAACTGAAGTGTAAGAGAAATTGTTACTTGCCCGAAGTCTTTGAGCCTGCCCGGGAGAGCTGGCCACATACCCCCGGGACACACACCGCTGTGGGTGCTGGGCGTGCTACTTACGTGTTCTCCAGCGACAGCTTCACGTTTCAAGGAGAAGACTCCAGTCGTGTTTCCAGGCAGGACGCCCTCCTGTTGGTTGTGACGATGGATGTGACCTGCCTCGGGCATGGGGTACTAGTATTGAGGCTTCTCTATTTGTTTTTATTTGGCAGGCTTTCAGCCCCGCCTTTGAGATGATGGGACTGGGAAACGGGCGTCGGACCATGAAGTCGCCGCCCCTCGTGCTGGCTGCCCTGGTGGCCTGTATTATTGTCTTGGGCTTCAACTACTGGATTGCGAGTTCCCGGAGCGTGGATCTCCAGGTGTTTTGCTTGCTTGTTTTCTTTGGGTGTCTCAGAGTATGAAATGTTGCCGGATGGTGGGGACCGAGGGATTTGTTATTTATCACCACCTGACACATTGCGCTGGCTAAAATGTTAGTTCCGGGCTCTGCATGTGTCCCCCCGCCTAGCCCTGGGCTCAACTCTCCACATCAGCTCTGCTCTTGAGAGAGGACCCCCTTGACTTCTTAGGGTTGCTGCCAGAACATCCCTCTCTGCTTTTCCCATGAGGTAACTTTTAGTCGAGCCGTTTGGGCTGGTTCTGGGAAGACAGCTTGATGAAGTGCACTAACCACAACCCACTCCTGTCTTCCCATCCACACTAGTTATCAGAGAGTGGTGTCAGAAGTGTATTTGGATAATGGGTGTGAGAAATGGGTTTAGGGGTATCAGTCTTTATTACCATCATTTAATGTGGATGATGATTTAAGCTCTCCCATTTATTGTTGCGCATCGTGAGTCAAGCAGTGCTGAGCAATGACACTCTCCTTGACCAAACTTTAGGTGGTCTCCTTGGGCCCTCTTTTTTGGCTAGACCTCCATCTTGGCCCTCCCCATTCTGTTTTTGACCTCCCCAGCCCAGGCTTAGCAGAGAATCCTGCTGAGTCACCCCCCACTCCCCCCGATATCTGATTAAGCCCCTCATCCCTCGTTCTCGATATCTAAGCCCTGGGCCTGTCTTTCACAAGAATCCCCCTATCATTGATGTCTCCTCTGAATACTTTTCCACCCATTGACCCTCTCAGTCTACTCGTTGGTCATAAATCCTCTGCTGTCTTTGCTTTATTCAGAGTTGAACACGGTTTCTCTCTCTCTCCTCTTGCCATAGTCATGACTCCAGTTGTGGTAGTCTTAAATAAAGTTTTCCTTACTGTTTTAACAAGCATCAGCATAATTTTTCTTTAACAGTACATTACATACATCATCATCTTTTGTACACAAACTCTACATGGTAGGGACTTTATTTTCCCCCATTTTACAGGTGGGTAAATTGAGGCACAGACAGGTAAAGTACCGGGGAGCTGGAATTCCAACCCAGTCTTTCTGATGGCAGAGCTTGGACTTATGGAACTTCGTCCCACTTGAATGTTTTGTCCCCAGAGATGTCGTCTTGGTACCCAGAGTTGGAGAACTGAACTGATTCTGTTTTTAGAAATTTTGACTGATAAAGAATGATTAAATGCTCCGTCAGTGGGGAAAAGGAACTAAATATTTGAGCACCAGCTCACACTGGGTAAATAAAGCAGGAGGCATTTTGTGTGCTTTTTTAAACCTCACAAAATTCCTGTGAGGGATATGGTGGTGATTCCAGGGAGACACACACTCATAGAAGTGAATTCTTTCACTTCTAGCATTGTTTCTCTAGAAAAACTTCTGTAGCTTCCACACAGCTGATTTAAAAAGTTGAGCCTTGGGAACACACCATGTGTGTAAGGCTTGCTTTGGGTCCCGGTGTCTTTGCTGAGGGAACTCAGGTGGTCTGGTCTCCAGGGATGGCTTGACATTTGCCCTTACACCCAGGTGTCCTTGTAGACGCGAATCATGGAGCTGGAAGGCAGAGTCCGCAGGGCGGCTGCTGAAAGAGGTGCTGTGGAGCTGAAAAAGAATGAGTTCCAGGGAGAGCTGGAGAAGCAGCGTGAGCAGCTCGACAAAATCCAGTCCAGCCATAACTTTCAGATGGAGAGTGTCAACAAGTTACACCAGGATGAAAAGGCAAGACCTGCTTTGTTTTCTTCTTAGTCTGTTCTAAATACCAGTTGATATGCTGTCAAATTCTTCTCAATGGGAAGGTAAGTGGCTGTGTGTATATTTATATAATTATAGGGAATTAGCCTCTTGATCAAGCTTTGGATATCCCCTCCCATCTGCCCATTAGGCCCTGGGCAGGCTTGTTGTAAAACCTTTTACAATGGTGATAAATGGCAGAAATGCAAAGGAACTTTCTATAAACACGTATTAAGTCCCTGCTCTGTGCTAGGCCTGTGCTGGATGCTTATATCTCAAAGAGGAATAATATTTGTGCCCTCATTACATCTCATGGATTGGAAGAGTTGTAGACCTCTAAGTAAGTACTAACAAAGAACATAGGGGACTCAAGACTGCTGGATTTTAAGTTTAAAAACAGATTAAAAAGGGGCTTTCTGCTCATTAATGTATCTAAGCTGTATATGTCTTGCGTTTTCTGTTTTTCTTAGGAATGGATGACTGCTTTTTTGTTTATTAAATTGTATAATGGTGTGAGTTATTAATATTTTCTTTTCTGAAGTGTATGAAACCCATGACCATTTATTACCTAGATGAGTGTGGCCCTTCCTAATGCATGCACCTCTCTCTGACATACTTGATTTGTTGGAGGGAGGTTGTATCCTGAAGTCTATTATCTCGAAGATAGACTTGGTTTTAGTATGAACTAGAGGCTAGCACTTCACCAGAAAATGAACTATTCTCAGGCTTTTCTTACCTAACTGGTTTAAAATGTGAAAAATGCTTTTTGTTCTTTTCATTTGCAGAGTACTTTCCCTTGTTCACAAATGTATATTTCTTCCCTGGGAATTATTCCAATTTTAATGCTGTCATAGTAAAGTACTTCCAAATTTCTCTTTACTTTTCTTATATGTGGGTGACACTATTTTGTGTCCCTGAAATCCCCTTTAACTAAATAGGATAGGACCTAGACATTTCTTATAGGGCGTACACAAATAAAACCCCTTAAAGCACATTTTTGGGAGGAAGTACAGTTTATTCTTAAGGAATAGAGTTTGCAGAGATTCCATTTGGGATTTGCAGGGTTTGTGGAGAACGCTCTGGCACTCTGGCCTCTGCCCGGTTGGGAAGGAGTGTGACAGGAACTGGGGAATGCTGGACTGGGAAAGGGGACCCAGCAAAGACCAGCAGGACTGCCCTGTGGGGCCCAGGCTGAGATGGGCCCTCAGGCCGGGCAAGGGAAGGTGAGGACTCTCCTGCTTAGTGCCTGCTCATTGCTGATTTACTGCTTTGTCAGTGCATGGCCGAAGAAGCCAGGCCTGAGACCAACCACAACAGGTTTTGCCCATCTGTACAGAGTGAGAAAAATAAGGATATTTTGTGTGATTTTTTCTGTCTCTCCGCCTCTGTATGTATGTGTCATTACCTGAAAATTTAACTCTTCTCCTTAGAAAGAGTTGTCTTTTATTATGAGCCTGTGGCCTGTCTACATTAAACAAAATTTTTATTATTAGTTTCAAGTATACAGTACATTGGTTAAACATTTATATAGTTTATAAAACGATTCCCCTGATTGCTCTTTCTCTCCTCTGGCTCTATACATAGCCATTACATTAATGCCGACTGCATTCCCTATGCCATGCTCCGCATCCCCGTGACCTATTTGTATTTCTTTAATCCTTCACCCCTTTCTCCCAGCCCCCCAACCCCTGACCCCTTGGCTTTTCTACATTTTTGTCTTTAACTTTTGCTTTTTAAAATGGTAGTGATGGAAGATGGTATGTGTCTGTGTGTGTCTGTATATGGTGTTTGGTTGTTTTAAGTGTCCTTATTTTCTGTCTACTAAATGCTTCTGATATTTTACTTGAACCATGAAATCTAAAATTCTAGACTGATCTCTCTCATTCTCCTCCTCCAAGCTTCTGGATAAGTTTGTGCATTGCATGCAAGTGTTGGTGCATGTTTTGTGTGGGGAGTTGGAAAAGAGGTTGCATGGTAATTTCTGTTCATGGGCATTCTGCCTCAGCCTGGGTATGAGCTCTTGGGGTTCCAATCCCTTATAAAGTGGGTGCTAGACAACCAGCTTCCCGTATCGTGTCGGCAGAATCCTTAGAGAATGCTCTGCACAGAACCATTTGTTCTAGAGAGTTCCAGTAATGCAGTCAATGAAGCACTATTACCATAGGCAAGTCCTAAGACAGAAACGCTAGTTCATTTGAGTGTAATCTGTTGTGGAGATAAGACCAAAACTTGGAATTCTTTGAAATATGATTGACTGGCTTTTCCTAGAAACATCTCACACAGGAATAAACAAGAGGGAACATCTTTTAGCCAGAAACCAGGTGACTCACCTCGGTTCTTAATGCTTCAGTTTTATGGCTTTTTTACAAAGCGGGCAAAATGCCTTACTTAGCCCTCTTGCCCTATCCCTAAGTTCAGAACTGTTTCAGGATCTAAGTGGAGGGAGACTCTTGTAGTAACTAGACACCTCCTGGTATATGTTGACCATCAAGGAGTCCCAGTAAAGAAGGTAAAATAAACATTTGACAGAATCAAATGGCCATTGGAAAAGAATGCGAGTCTTTTTTTTTTTTTTTTTTTAGAGTTTTTAACTTTAGGATATGCAATATAAAATTATTTTCATTTTGGGGGTGGGTGCTAGTTTCTTAGCTCCAAGAGTAGTTTAGCTGTAGCTTAGTGTGGTGGTGAAAGGCAGACCTGGGTTCAAATCCTTGTTTTCCTCAGCGGCATGATTTAAATTCATGCATGATTTAAATTCACCTTCTGATCGGGTGAATTTCACAACTCTGCGGCAGGTGAGTTAAATTCACCTTTTGATCGTGTGGCTGTGGTCCTTATGAAAGCCTCTGTTGCTTGCTAGTGTTTGTCCATGCGGAATTATCAGTTCAGCTTATCAAATTGTCTGATGTTTGTCCCTGATCTGATTTGTTACAGAAGTTATATCAGAGCATTCAGTCCTCTCCTGCCTGCACATTACCATCACCTGGGAGCTTATACAAAAAATGGATTTTTAAAATACACTGGATCAGAATCTCTGGGTATTGGGCCTCAAAGAATATGGAATTTTTTATTTTAAAGATAGTACACATGCATGTATTTGCTCATGTATGCACACATTTCTTCTAAGTTCTCAGATCACTGTATTGTGAGCAGGTAGTAAAACCATACACTGGTGATGGAGATAAGGCATTTTGCAGTATGGCACTGTTAAAAATAAAATTCTTATTAGAGTTTTTTCATTTTTTTGACCCTCTGAAATTATTTTAAAAGTAGAAGACATTATAATTAGTAGATATAATTTTTTAAAAATCATTTAGCAGAGCTGTTACCAAGTAATTGATGTTCATACTTTTTTTCTAAGATATTTCTTTCATTTTTACCCATATTTACTGGAATCCTTGAAAATTTTTAGAAGATATGCCGGGTAGGAGACTTGCTGCTCACCCATTGCTGCTGCCCGCGTGGAAGGCTAGGTGGCCATGTTTGTTCCATTTTGATGCCCCACAGCCAGCTCATTGGATGAGGGAGGAAACCTGGCACAGAGGGCGTGCACTCATTGGCTGGAGCATCGACCAGTCAGTCACATGAGATAATTTGAACGAGATCTCAGACTTTGATCATTTGGTGATAGATATTCTAATGAGACTTCAGCTGATTCTTGGGCATTGAATCGTCATTCTCATTTCCCTTCTTTTCTGCCTCCTTGTCTGTTGCAGAATTAGGTATGTTTATGACGGTTTGACCACGTAAGTACAATTATGTAAGTTCATGTGTATTTGTACAACTTGGTGGAAGCCCTCGTATAGTCATCTCCTGAGCTGTATATTAGAAGGGATGTTCAGCTTTGTTTTGAAACAAATGATTGTGCAAGTCAGCCTTAAGTAACTTTCAAAAAAGTTGTCTGTCTTAATTATCAAAATATTGTAGACATTTTTGAAAATACAAAAAGAATCATACTTTTATCTCTCAGAGATTAACACCCCTGAGAACTACTCATCTTCTTTTAAAAAATAGATCACATCTAAACTTTTATAAATTTTTATATTCAAGCTTTTATAAATATAGGTATGCCGTGAAAATTGTAGAACGTAAAGGAGGTTCTTTAAATGACAAACATATGTGAACACATATAGTTTTGACACATCATTTAAAAAGACCCAGAAACTCTTGCCTTATTATGCATTGTTGTTTTAGGGGTGTTGAGGCAGTCAGAAGTAGAAAGTCAGGGGTATAATTCGAGACAGAATTGTTTTATAAATGTTTGTTTCTAAATAGGTTTCATAGGTCCATTTACAGGTTCTGGGTGGACGTGTATTTTTTTGGTACAACCCACGATACCTTTTATTGTAGTCAGCATGGTCACTTCCTCTGCATTAGTTAGAAGTGGGTCACTCAGGCAGGCCAGCCCAAATGGAAGCGGGGGAAGGGATTAGACTCTGTCTTTGGGAACAGCGTCAAAGAACTTGAGGTCACATTTTAAACCACATTTGCATGGGTATAAATAATCTTCGCACAACCACCAGTGAAATGCTATTTTAAGATGTACATGTGTGTATGTTTGAAATAGGTTTTTAAGGGGCCTAAGTAGAAACAGACTCTCAGGTTTTAGTTTTTGGCGAAAGCTAATAGAGGGTCACTTGTAAGGGTCTGCATTATCTATCTCCTAAGGATGGCATAGAGTGGTTTAATTCATTCTTTTATTTTGTCGTCAGAAGGCTGATCAGTATTTTGGAGTCTGAAGACTTACCAAGATCTTGGGTACTCTCCTGGCTGGTGGCTGCTCCATACCCACGCAGTGGCCCTAAAGGCATGAAGGGGACAGATTACCTGATATCTGAAGCTCCTGAATTACTTAGTAGCACTTCATCCAGGGAATGTCCAGCTTCCTGCTCTTTTGTTCATTTTCACGTGCCCCAAGTTAGAATCAGAAATGGCTTCATTGTTCATATTTGTGTTGGTGACATTCTTGCTGGGCCGGTTTCTTGCAA